GTGGTTTAATGGAAATAGCAAAACATGGCAAAACACAAATTTCGTTGAATCTACTGATTTTTGTGCAAATCTACTGACTTTTTGGGGATCGATTTGCTGACTTTTCTTTTCTCCGTCTGGCAACACTGGTGGTAACATATTTTACTAGAATATGTCTTCTGCTGTCTATCGAGTATTTTTATTTTATCTCTCTAATAGTTTTGTTTTTGTGCAGTACTGTATGTGTTAAATGTTTTGCTGATTATCAATAATCTAATAACATAATATCTGTACTTATTGGCCACACTTCCTCCGACGCCCGTCGAAGGAGTGACATCTGTGTGCAAAAGAAGTGCTTCCGTACTTATTTGGATGCGTACTCTCTGTACGCAATGTCACGTGATTTTCCCAAGGACCGCACGCGCGCACTGCCAAATAGACCTGTGCGCCGGTCAGAAATCGCCGGCGGCGGCGCGCCGGTGTTTGTACCTCCGGCGGCGGCGTGTTGACGGCGCGGGGATCAACGGATCGGCGGCGGCGCGGCGCGGAAGAGGGAGGGGAGGGGGGTGTAAATTCGAGTGTGAGGGGGAAAGAGGAAGGAGTCGTTTGAGTTTAGAAAACAAAATACAAATACCATAAAAAAAAACACGTTTTTTTTTTTTTTTTTTTTTTTTCTTGAGAGTTACGTTGTTTTCGCTGTGAAGAGTGCGTCCGTAATTCACACTGAGCAAAAAACGCGCGTTGCGGTCGACGTCGACGGCGGCGTCGTAAAATGCGAAGCAGTCACACAGGACCACCCCACGGCGGCGGCGTCTCGGGGAATCTCACGTTTGTCGAGAGAACACGGAATTTTTTTATTCGTCTGCTTCGCACGATTGTTGTTGCCTTGCCTTCGCGATTGCATATGCGGTGGGAGACAACCGTCTTCACTGAATGGACTACGGTGATGATTATATATACGTTTACACTCCAGTTATATGCAGCATTGGCGAAATGCACGGACTCGAACGGGCAGCTTCAGGTGCTCTTTTGCCGCGTTTTTCTGCAAACAAAGCACGGTGCTACGCCGGCGCGTCCCAGAGCCTTCGCGTCCGTAACTGCACGCAGCCTGTGCGAGTGTTTTCGATGGAGGACTGTTGTATTCCGTAGTGATGGGTGTACACAAAACTACACAACACATTGGGAGTGATCGCTCCCGCACAGTCGGAGGTCGGAACACACCGCGAACTTCGGTGGCAGCTTTCGCGGCAGCTTCGCGCAAACCGATGAAGAGTTGCTTCACGGCGTCCTACACGCACATAAAACACTGCTCACAGTCAAATGTTCCAATCGGCTTGCTTCTTTCCACACTAAAATGCTTCCGGCGACGTTTGGCGGCGAGTGCACGAATCCCCCGAACCGCCCGAACTCTCTGCCTTTTCGCCTTCAATGTGAGTCGAAAATGGAAAAAAAAAAAAAAACAGCAAAAACATGTCCTAACCGGAAAAGGGCGTACGTCACGTCCGGACGCTCGCTGATTGGCTCAAGCGCGCGCGTCGAGGGAGAAATTGGGTTCCGAAGCGTCGTCTCCCTGCGTCGTCCTCCTCGGCGCGCGACTTTTTTCAATACAAAAATAAGCAAAAAATTCCCCCCACGACGCGCGTCTTTCCGCTGTGTGAATGCGCCTTTAGAAGAATCAGGTACTCCGGCGTCTTGTTTATTCTCTTTTGTAAGAGAATATGCCGCCGGCCGCAGCCGAGGCGCAAGATCCTCCGCGCAAGACTACTGTAGCAAGACGAGGAGTGACGACAACAGGTA